TGTTCTCAGCACTTTAAAAAAATAATGATTCATTTAATCCTCATGGCAATCCTATGAAGCTGGTATTGTTATTGTCCTGCCTTTCTTGATGAGGAAACTGAGGCCCAAGTTACTCAGCTTGTAAACTCTTTTTCCTGAGTTCTGTAGTTGAATGAGGTTGTGTGGCTCTAGAACCTTAAGTGTGTGGAATAATATATCAGCACTTAGCAAACCACAGACCCCATGATAAGTTCTCCTGAGCAATCATTACACTTACCTCTGCCCTGTCCAGAGAAGAAATTTCTCTAGTCATGTAATATATGTTCCATGAATTCCTAGCATCGCTCCAGAGCTAGAATGTAGCCCAAGATAGTGCTTACTCCTTGTTTTGAGCTGCATTTCTGAGCGATCTTAGCAGGCCAGACACTGAGGGTCCCTACAGCCCTCGCCCCATCCCTGGGCTGGGCTTCAATTGCAAGGACAGCAGTGCAAGAGAATGGGACTTTCATACACCGTATTTTGAAAACATTCAGGCAGAAGGAATTGAAAGCAGATTCAGTGATCTGTTAACAGCTGGAATAATTAAAATACACCTGAGATATCTGCATAGAGAAAACTTATGCATTATAATAGTTACCAGGGAAAAGAAAGTCTACACATGTATTGGGCTTCTGGAGTGAAGACTCTTAAGTCACGATTGTTTTAAGGTGAGGCCTGTACAGTGTCATATAACTTCTTTAGGAACATTTTGTGATAAGGTTGCTAATGCATATGCTAACCACAGTGCCATGTATAGAGCAAACATGAAGTCATGTGTAACCAGCTTATTATTACATTGTCTTAGAGTATATGCATTTTTGAGAACCTATGGTTAGAATGGAAAAGGGGCCTTTCCCCAGGTATTCCTAGATGAGAGGGAGGTTTGCCCTGACTTCAGTGTGTCACCCAAAGTCAAAGCAAAAAGCTGCTCAGCAAACCTGAAATGCAACTGAGGATTCCCACGGCAGTGGGCCCCGCCTCCTGCTGTTCCAGGGCATTGGCTTTCCTGCATCAGGGTCCCCACTGTTTCATGAATCAGCTGCTTTGGTGGAACTGACTCACTTGGTCTTTCTAATTAGTTATCATGGCTTCCTACTTCCAGTATAGAAAGTTGCCCATCTATAGTGAGCCATGTACAACTGAAAACTATTATAACCAAACCTAAAAAAGCTCCACTTACACATTAGCAAAATAAATGCTACTCAGTCCCACTGGGAACAAGTGCTACCACTTTCAGTTTCTTTAGATCTCAATAGCCTGAAAGTAACATCAAGTCATAGACTCACTGCTCAGTTCAGTCTGGGTTTCACGCTTGTTTTAGTGTTTACCTCTCTTTCAAAATGCATAGATGCGTCAATTGGTAATGTTGGACCCAACTTCATTGGATCATGAAAAACAGCATTTCTATACAGCCGAAGAAGGCTTGTATCTGCATGTGTGTGAGTATGGTGGCATCCCACTTTTCCCTCAGGTTCTTCCTGGCATGCAGTTTGCCCACAAGTGAATGGCTGGTGTGTAGCCAGAGGGACAGCACAAAGGTTAACTTGTATATTAAATATGAGTAAAGCTTACTCCCCACCCTGTGTTTAGATGAAAAGTAGTGATTCCAGGGAATCTTCTCAAGCACACCCAGGAGTGTATACCCCACTTTGGATGCCACCATTCTCATAAGGCTTAATTAAAGAGTTATAGAAAGCTAAAACTAGAATTCCACCAAGCCCATGATTTTAAGGATTGTTTTGTATAAAGCAAGGGTCCTTCGAAGTTTTTCACAGCGTTGCTTATTCTGCCTCTCCAACAAAATGTAAACAAACGAAAGTTACAATTTCAGGCAATATTGTTATCAATCTGTTAGGCAGGAAGCTAGACATTAGCAGGAGGAGAGGTTGGTCAACCACAGGTGTCTCTACCAGTAAAAAGCCACCTGCCAGAGAAATTAAAACCATAATGGACAATCCCCAATCCACAGCCTAAGAGGGCATGCGCTAAAGCTGACCTAAAGTAACCTAGCTTCATTGTAACATAGTTTGCATAAATCTGCATTGTGGTTTGAACCCCCAACTGGTGGGCAAACAGAGAGAATTCTGGGAACAAGCATGCACAGCAAAGACTGACATATAACTGCTGAGCTGTCAATCAGAGTTCATTAGCATAGATTGCCCCACCTAAAACCACTGGCAAACCACATAAAAAGAAGCCCTCTGTGAACACTGGGGTCCTGTCCGACATTATTAGGTCTTTTGCAGAGCATAATAAACTTGCTTGCTTCCTCTGCTTTGGTTTCACTCTGTCTGGCTTCCCGACAACAATGAAATAAGCCCTTTCCCCCAAATTCTGCACCACTGGGTAGTCATGCTGAGCTGGCTTATTCCATCTGAGAGCCTGCAGCATGCCAGTGATGGATATTATGTACCAATTCTAGTACATAATAACAATACATTTCAGTTTGCTGAATACTGTCCCTGAAGTGGACCTCCCATCCCTCGAGGGGAGCAGTAGGATGTGTGGTCACGAAAACAGGGCAATGGTAGGTCAGATGTCTTTATACACAAAGGTTGGTCATCTTGTCATATTTAGATATGTGACTAAGATATTTGGGTATGATTACAATAATCTGAGATATGTTTTGTGATAAGAATAGAAACATTACAAATCACTGTTTATGCAAAAGTCATTTTATTTACCACAAGAGCTTTTTAATGGCTAGATCTAGAAAGAGTGGACATTTTTGTTGAAGATGAGCTGTGAGAGATCTTTTGATTTGAGGACCACACTAAATGATGCTAGAATCAGTGAGCCATATCACCATGGAGAGAATTTATAGCTGAGGAGAACACCAGAAGACTATCTGTGAATACAGGACGTGATCTAATGTTAACTGTTCTTGAGACAGGTGTGTATTATTAATAAGAATAACAAAGAAGGAACTCAATTATCCTTTAGTGTGTGAATGATGGCAACCTTAGGAGTGAAGGTGGCTGTTTAATTTCTGATTTCAGAGCATCAAACAACCTGGTTCTCTGCTTTGTGCCAATAGTACACACCACTCGGGGACCTTGAGGGCAGACCCTTCTTTATCTTTCTCTTAGCTCAAGAACTTGTCAGCTTACATGCAAAGCAAACATCCTGTAGCTCTCAGGAATTAAACTCTTTAAATTCAGCAGCCAGCAGAAATCCCTTCCATGACGTGTGTTTAGTGGTTGAGGTGATAAGCAGAGTAATAAATATGCCACAGTCTTTTGTCAGTTTGATGGGAAGGATTATCCCTTGGTTCTATTTAGCTCTACTCAAATGTATCTTTTTTTAATTTGTTTTACTTTTTATATTGAAGTAATTTCAAACTTACAGAAAAGTTGCAAGAATAATACAAAAAGCTTTACATTTAACGTTTACATTTAACGTTGTAAAGGTACATTTGTAAAATCACACTTTACATGTTACTTCTCCCTTTGCTGTTTTTTTTTCCGAAGGCATTTGAGTAAATTGTAGTCATGTTGCTGCAGTAACTATCAACACTTTACTGTGCATTTTCCAAACGCAAGGCACTCTCCTACCTAACCACAGGGCAGCCACCAAAGCTGAAAATCAGAAGTCACACAATATCACCATCATCCCCTAACTGCTTCAGTTACCTCCTCAGTCAGAAAGAAATTTAATGCCCAGGTCTTGATGGAAAAGGCAATTCAGAATGTTACAATATACAATCTAAAAATGAAATATCTGTTTCCTATGTAGTGTTTGCAATTCTAACATCTAGAGCTGAAACATTATTTCACTGAACACCCTTGAATCAAGGTCTTGTGGAAGGAGATAATTGGGAGAAATTAGCCATAAATCCAGCTCATTATTTTTGTTTTTCTCCAGCAAAATACATTCTTTTTCCATATAAGGGTATAAACAACTACAAGTGGTTACAGAGATGTACTTAAGAGCAGAATTAACAAAGACAACCCCCTAAGCCTATGTAAGGCCTTGCTGACTTTGAAATTGCTTTTGCGGATTTTATAGCTGCAAACTTAGCACTTAAAGGTTTCAGATGTCATAAATGAGTTATGGTCCTGGACTGTGTGTAGCAGAGCTGACTTCCCAGGATGCAGGAAGTTTGGGTGTTTAAGATCTTCAAACAGTCTTGAGCTCTCAGGAGTCTGTGAAAGTATGACTCTCAGGGCTTGCTTCTCCCCCTTCACTTTCATGACATTTTTATTATTTTGTTTTCCTTACCTCCCACATGCTGTTTTAAAAAGGTTTATTTTGTATTCAGTTTTTGAAAACAGTATTTTTTCAAAACAAGACCCAGTCTGAATAATGAGGTAGTTTAGTTACTTACTAACATATTCTTGTGCAATTCTTATAACTGATATATATGTAATATATATGATACATATTACATATAACTATATATATAGTTATACTCTATGTGATTATGGTGATTGCTTTCAAATCGAAATACTTCATTTATGAATAAAATAGTTACCTGCCATAGAGTCTAGAGCTATTCTACTTAGAACCCCTCACATGATTTGTGACTTCCATAGTTGGTGTGGAATAGACACATAGCCCTTAAAGTTCAGGGATTTGTGGTTTTGCAGCCAGAGCAGGATTGTACCAGAACTTTTGACCATTCCCTCTTCCCTTGTACCCTTTTCTTCATGCACTTACCCAAAGATCATAACTATGCCAATTCTTGACATACAAGCGGCAACCGTCTTGGTGGCTTCTTTTCATTCTCAGATGAGCTCCATCCATGAGGATTAGGTCCCCAGACTCCAATCTCCTACCCTCCCAATCAGGACGGAAGAGACACAGCACTGCTTTTAATGTGAGTTTGCTCTGAGCCCTCTTCTAGTCCACAGGTCATGAAATGTATTATGACCGTTTCCCACTCTTAGGCCTGCCAGCTTTTTTCTCTTTTATCTGAGGTTTAAGATAAGCCAAATTATTTTTCCTTTTACAAATACTTAAAAATATTTTTTGAAAACACACACACAGCAAATAATACCTTTTAATATAGAGCACAAGTTATTTTCTCAGCATATGTTTACATACATATTACTTAGCCACATAATTTATTTGTATGCTAAGAATGAGGAAGCCAGTTTAGACTCTGTTTAAAGAGCCCTGTTAATTTTTTTCCTGTAAATTCAATCTTTTTCAGGAAATACAGGCTCGTATGAAAACATTCTATATACACCCTAAGCAATGATCTCAAGTCATTGCTAAAGTGAAGTGACAGTTCACATCTCACAAAATGTATTTGTTTTGATAGTAGGTTCTTGGATTACGTGCGATTTACAACCCTCTGTTAGACTGAGAAGAGAGTGATATATAAGCAGTAGGACCCATGTAAACCCCAGAGAGAATCAGTCTTTCCCATGTGTGTATGTCTGTCTACACCATGCTACCTTGCACATATGATAGCTTGTACTTCTCCACTCTCGGGCTAAACAATGACTATTTTTACTGATTTATGACAGCCTATCTCCAAAAAGAACTTGAGGCATCTTGCAGAATTGATTAACAGCCATTGGAAAAAGAGACTTCAGGGCCAAAGTCAGGTTTTTTCCAGAAGAAAGTTGACCACACTAAGCATAACAGTTAATCAAAGCCAGGAGTGAGCTAAAAACTCCATGGGAAGATTCATTAATGAGCATTATGTACTTTCTGAGCTCTGGAGACACAAGGTGCTTCAAAAGCTATATAACATAGCCAGTTATATCAACCTGACTACTTATAATTATGGAATGTTGACAGCTTCAAAAATAAGGAGCATCTATATAACAAAGAACATAGTTTGTCTTTTAATAAGAGCCCATCCTCACCCAAATAGAAATTCTGTCCAGATACAAACAAAACTTTCCTATGAAATAAAATGCGAGGTTTGCTGATTTCTTTTTTTTTTTTTTTGCTGATTTGTTTTTGACAACCTGAAGAATTATCGTTCTAAGAAGAATTTTTTTTGAGCATGTACACTAAGAAACAGATTCCCCCCAAATAAGACCTAGAACTTGGGGATAATACTGTATTTTCCAGTTTGGAATCTTTTATTATGGGAGCCTGGAGCTGTTTGGGATGTCCTGAAAAAGCATATGGTAAATTAGATCCCAGATCTGAATATCCTAGTCCCATCCCCACCATTTCTTGCTTGGACCATTGCAGTTGCCTTCCATTTGCTCTCTCCATTCTTCCACGCTCTCTCAACTGAGGTCTGCTCCTTGCAAAGCAGCCAACGTAACCTCTGAAGAGGGAAGTCACATCATGAACCCTTCTGTTAGACCCTTCAATGGCTTCTGTCTTACCCAGTAATATAATTTTGCTTCGTCCCACAACCTCCCCCTCTTCCCTGCTTCTCTGACCCCATCTGCCACCCTCCCTTTGCTCTCTGTTCCTGCTCCTTCAGCTTCTCTATTATGCTTCCAACATGCAGAGCAACTCCTGCCTCAAAAGCCACTCTGGACTTCTTTCTACCTGGAACAGTGTCCCCGGCTGGTTATCCCTACAAGTTTCTGCCTCACAGCCTTCAGGGCTCTACTAAGATGTCACCTTACCAAAGAGAACCTTCTCCACCTCATCACCTTTTGTGAAACAGCATGCCGATCTCTACCCTCGCGTGTTTTCTTCTTATCACATTGCCACATTTGCTGTGGCTGCTGATCTGTGCTGTTCAGGGCGTGCATGTTTGGGACTGTGCTTTATATACAACATGAAATACTGCTTCGGTAACTTTGTACTGTAAGTTGCAAGCTGTTTGGAAAGTGTCATCAAAATACACCGTGTGGACACACACTTGGTCAGTAGACTAGACTGTCACACGCCATGTGGGCCGTGAGGGGGGAATCTCTTCACTCAGTGCTGTGACTACAGCATTGGCAATAGGGCAGGCCTATGGTAGATGCCCAATAACATATTTTTTAATTGTGGTAGAATATACGTAATACAAAATTGACCATCTTAACCATTTTTAAGTGTAGAGTTCAGTATTTTCACACTGATGTATCAGCATCACCAGTGCCCATGGACAGAATTCATCGTCTTGCAAATGTGCTTAATAGTATTTACAGAAAGGAGGTAAGAAGCCCTTGGCACCTTTTGTAAGGTGAGGAATGCTTTGTAATGGAGAACAACATCCTTCCCAATTTAACTTTTAGAGCAGTTCGGACTTTAATATACCTGATTTTCTTAAATAAGAAGCACCTGTAAGGTAACTGACGGACACAGAAGAGCTCTAAAAGTACTTGTAAACATGGGCTGGGAAAGTAAAGTATTACTGACAGATCTGAGAGAAAGGCTGAGAAAAAATGAGTAAGAAAGTGGAGAAATTAGTAGGTGAATAACCCAGAAATAGGATCTTCAGCTTCTGGATACAGTGAACTCTTTTACAAGTGAACGCTTATTGAGATGTTGAATTTCCTCCTAACGTGGGCTCTCAGAGGGGCACATGGCCATTTGATTATATAAACAAGTAATTGGAAGCATTTTACTCTAAGACAAGAATCTGCCCAAGAGATGACTTCTATCCGGGAGGAGTCATTTAGGTTTGCTTCCTGTGAGATACTTCCAAAAGCTCCACGATTGTTAATTGACTTGAAACTCTTATTGTCAGACAAAATCTTGTGTGGGTGTTGTTCGTAATGTTCAGAGTATTCTGCCAGAAGTTTTGAGACTTGGAGAGGAGGAGACGTATATCCGTCTGAAAAAAAAAAAGACTTTCAGTGTGATAAAAAGGAATCAACGCAAAGTAGAGGCCATACAGCAGATATGTACATATATTATTTACAGAATCTACATCAGTGCTAATTAAAGGAAGTGCTGGAGTGGTAGACAGAGGCTGGTCTAACCATGGGCAGGTCTAATGAAAGGCAGTGTCTCCCAAACAGTAATTTAACGCCAATAGGTACACTGTTCTGAACTAACACAGCACAAAATATAACTCAAATGTACATAATCCACAAGTGAATCCTTCAGCCTTCTCATTAAGCTCTGCAAATGCGATTATAAACCATTATGTCTAAGGTATTTCATAACAGTGCATTTTCACAAGAGACCTTTATGAAGGGGGCCACATATTCCATCAGGTCAGCTTTTTAAGCTTTGAAGGATTTTATAATATAACTCCTTAAATCAACACCTAACTAATAAATGGAAATTAAATTAAGGCTGCCGTCCACCCCAAAAAGCAGAAAAGCCAGTGAACGGACTACACATCCACAGGAGCTGCGGTCTCAAGGTGAGTTTATCAGATTCCATCGGAAGGCAGCACTATCCTAAGGTGCTGAGCTCGGCAGCACCATTAGCATGACATCGCGGGGCTGCTGCTCTTGGTGTTGATGTTATGTAAACATGCTTACGCAAGGACAGGATAAATAAATATACAGCCAGTGCAGTGCTTGGCTGTGCATTAAAGTGCTGGGCCTTCAGAGCATGCGTGTTTGGGACTGTGCTATAATTAAGTACAACACAAAATACTATTGCCATGAATTTGCACAGTAAGTTGCAAGCTTTTGGAAAGTGGCATCAAAACACACAGTGTGGATATGCACTTATTTCCTCTTAACTAGTTTGTCACTTCCTACGTGGATCCATCTGTATGCTGACTAAGCCCTGAATGGTATATGCTTATGGGACACCTAGTTGATTTGTTTTGCTCTAAGACACAATTGTCTATGTTTGTATTAAAGCCATAATCTATCTCTTTAGTAGCATTGTACTTGGAGATGAGGGTCCTAGACAGCCCCCTTCCCCAGCACCTTCCCCTCAGAAATGACCAAACACACATCCTAGTGGCTATGAAGAACCTTGACTCTGGGTTTGAATCTAGGCTCCACCTCGTATTAGCTGTGCAACTTTAAGTAAGTTAATGCAGCTTCCTTGTTGGTAAAATGTGGATGACAGTACCTATCTCAAAAAATTGTTCAGCAGATTAAAGGAGAAAGTGCAACAGGTGTGGCACACAGTAACTAATAAATGGTAGCTGCTTTCATAATGGGGCACCCCCAGTTGCATTTGCTGATGTGCAAACAAGGCTTGATGGTCCACAGGACAGGAGCGCTATGAAGGTAGCACAGGGCTGCCTTCTGTGGGCCAAAGGCCTCTCCCTTGTCACTTGCTGACCTCACCTCCCAGGGCATCCTTTACATAACATAATCTTTATGCAAACTGTGGGGGCCTTCAGGAACTCTAGGGGGTGGAAGTCATCCCAGGGTAGAATTCCTGAAGGTTCCCTATGCCCCTGCTGGGCATGTGCCTTTGGGCACTTAGTGAGGATCCCCCCTGCTTCCCTTCTTTCCCATTCACACCTTTCTTCTGGAGCCCTGGTGTCCACTGTCCTGCTTGACCCTCAGAGCTTAGCTCTTACTACGGGTAAATAGATTTCTGGGAGGCCTTGTTTCTCGCCACTTACCTAGTTTGTGTCCTGAGACGTGACTCCCTCCTTTGCACGATGGTGACTAATTTCTGGGCTCGCAGCAGCCATGATCCTCTGCGGCCCTGGCAGGCATGGTGCAGCTGGCCAGGCACCTGTATTTTTGGAGCCAGTTAATAACAACGTCAGGCTCTGATGAAAACAAAGTATCCAAGTAGATGGCTTGTCCTGGCTGTCTTGTTATTGGCTAAAAAATTGATTTCTAATGTCTTCTAAAGTTACACACAAGTGTGTTTTATTTAAACAAATAAGTTTATTTTAGTTTAACAAAGATCCCGTTTCAGCATTTTAATCATCTCCTATTCACCCCATTGGTGTGGGAGGGATTCCTGCCGTAGGTTTATGGGGATGGACGAGCACGTGACACCCGACACTGGGCAGGTGTGATGCCCAGATGTTACACACACAGCCCCGGGGGGACACCAAGGCCCCGCAAGACCACATGGGAACGAAATGAACAAACAGGGGTGGTGGAAAGCAGACTTTGTAGTATCAAGAATGAAGTGACATCTGGTCCCTTGGATGTGATTGGCTCGTTTGAATAATTTCACCAGCTGGCAGGGAACTGAACCCCACTAGTGCAAAATAATTAGGAAGTGCCTCTGGTTTTCTTTGTAAGGAGGACTGTTTGCCCAGGGACCTTATATATAAGGAGGGGAAACAGCCTTTAGGCCAAGACCCTCCAGTCTCATCAGTGGTTAAGGCAGTGCATCCTATCAAGCCTTAATTTTAGGCCTTACACCCGATGTGTCGACACTGCAGACCTCTCATTCTCTAGGTGTATAAACCCAGAACAAAATGAAGTTTCCAATGTTGCCTGTAATTTGCTAAAGGACTTCACATGACAGAAGGCTGGGACAAGATAATTGTGAGAAAGCAGCAATTCTTAGATGTCTTAAAACAATAGGGCATCTTACTACCTTTCCTGAATGAGGAATGCCTTCATATCTAGTTTCCAGTCATTGATTAAGAGAAAGATCCATTTATGTTTCCCAATTTAGATACCTTCTCAAAACAACAGAAGCATTGTGTAATTTTATTTTCTGTTACATAGCCACTGCTTTACAACCTTGCTTCCCCTCAACCCATTGTTGAAAACTGATCTTCTTTTCTTGGCATATTTATGTATAATTTAAAATTTTGGTAACATTATAAAGCCTTGGAGGGTCAGCACGTGCCCTCTACTTTGCAAAGGAAGTGACCACAAGGATAAAAATAAAGAAGGCTATTGTCTCTCTTCTCCAACCCATCCTTTCTCCCTTAGAGGAATGGTTGTATTAGCACTCACCCGCACAGCGGCATGCTAGGCAGCAGCTACAAAATCAGGTAGACATTATGCAACACTATAAAAAGAAGACCTTCAAGAAATCAAACAGTTCAACTGGTAGAGCGCCTGCAACCAGCACATCTATTCCAATATGTATTAATAAGTGCATGTCTACAGTAGGTATGATTAAAACAAACCAGCACATAGTTCAAAAAGATGAGCGGATCTACAGGAGGAACCTACAACTTCTTGCTGACTCTCAAGGTCAATTCTCACATTAGACCATGTGCCAGTGTTTGTCTGAGTGCAGTTCTTAGATCTCCATCACAGTCTCTCAGAATGGTGCCACCCTGAGACCCTGGTTGGGTCTGTCTAAGGCCAAGAATCAGCATTTCAGAGAGCACGCCAAATGATTCTTAAACCACGGCAGTTTGAGAATCACAAGGCTAAATAATCAAATAACTGTATTTTGGAGAAAAAGGTGCTATCCATTGTGTCCCCCTAAATTGTATATCTTGAAATCCAACCCTGAAAGTGGCAGTGTTGGGGGGGGGGGTCTTTGGGAGGTAATCAGGTCATAAGGGTAGAGCCCTCACGGATGGGATTAGTGCCCTTACAGAAGAGGCCCTGGAAGGGTCCCTTGGCCCTTCTGCCGTGTAAAGTTATGGGGAGAAGATGGCCATCAAGGAGGAAGCAGGCTCTCACCAAACACTGGGTCTGCCGGTACTGTGATCTTGGACTTCCCAGCCTCCAGAATGGTGAGAAATAAATGTTTGTTGTTTATAGGCCACTCCATTTATGGTATTTTCATTATAGCCACACAAGCAGATTAAGACAGAAGGTGAGAGACTCTTCTGAACAGCCCACTGAGTCACGGGTCACTGTAGGTGTGAATGCAGCTGTCTTCTGATTCCTCCTTCTCCTACGACACGCTTTTCTCACCAACACATGTACATGAATTTCATGATGAAATGAGAGGTACCTTTAAATTGTCCTTTGTGGTATTCTTTTTCATTCTTAGGATGTATTTTATTCATTTATTTTTAGTTACGGTTGACCCTGGAATGCAGGTTTGAACTGTGCAGGTCCACTTCTTCGTGCATTTTCTTTCAACAAATACTGTGCAGTCCTGTTCATGCATTTTCCCTTTCTTGAGAAGTTCAATTTTTCTTTTTTCTATCTTACTTTACTGTAAAGAATGCAGTATGTAATACATGTAAGACAAAATATGTGTTAATTGACTTTATGTTACAAGTAGGGTTTCTGGTCAACAGTAACTATTTAGCTAAGTTTTAGGGGAGTGGAAAGTTGTACATGGATTTTTGACTGTGTGGGAGTCAGTGCCCCTTACCTCTGTGTTTTTCAAAGATTAACTGTATTTACTTAAATCTAAGGTAAGCTAAACTGGAAATACCTAGGTCTCCATTCCCTAACTCCTTCCTTTAGTGGGCTTCAAAATTACTGTCCCCTTGGTCTCAGATGGTCCCAGGGATGCCCAGCTCCTGCCGCACTCTGGACTGCACGGTGGCCTCCGTGCTGCTCTCCTCCACCATCTTGGATTTGATGTCCCCCCCCAACTCCATTATGTGCATTAAGGCAGGCTTTGAAATTCATGAAGAGACATTTCTGCTTGAAAACCCTGAATTTGTTGTAGTTTAACTCTCGTAATTTTTTAGGTAACCTGGACTCCTTTGCTAGCACTGAGGCTGGCATTCGGATGGGGAAGAGCTATGTTCCCAGTCCCCTGGGCTGCTGGGACTTTCTCCTTTCCTTCACCCCTCATGGTGGCAGGCTAAGGAGCAGGATGATCTGAGTGGTCACCTGATCTCCCCAGTTGTATGGTGCTGGAAGTGACTTCCCGTGGAGATCCTGTCCTTTCCTGTTGTCCCTGAGGGCTTCAGCCTTGGGCTAGGAGACTCTCTGGCTTCTGTCCTATTCACTGTGTAGCCTTCATTCCCCAAGGCCAAGACAAGGACCATGCTATGGGACCTTTAATTGTTTCTGCAACATTTTAGCTGGTCATCTCTGCCCCTGTAATCACCAGGCATGAGCTGCCCTCTATTGAGGGACCAGCCGCTCCTGCTGACAGGCTGGAGGGTGTGCTTGAAGCAACACTTGCTCCAATGATGTGAAGACCTCTGAGGACCGGTGAGAAGCACCTGCTGTGGATATGCTGGTTCCACTCCCTGCTGCCTCCATGAGGGCTGCTCCTGCCAGAGCCAAGTCTGCAGGCTCAGTTGCCTCTCTGTCCACAGCGCCTGCTGTGGGGCCAGCCATCACCAGTGCTCTCCTCTGTCAGTCACCGTAGGGATGGCCTGGGTACGGTGGTAAGCCTCCACTGGTGGTCTTGATGGGTAAGCAAGGTTTTCCCAGGGAGCAAAAAGATCTCTTGCATCTGGAGGGACGCAACTGAGGGTAAAAAGAGTGGCCAATGGGAGGCTTCCCGTGGAACTGTTGTTTCTCCTGATGGTGGATGGCTATCTTTACAGACTCGAGGAAGCTGCCTGGTTAGCCCAAGGTCTTTGAGGCCCTGGCCTCTTCCCTGGGGTCTCTGCACATCTGGGCCAGCAGCTACCATCGATCGGGTCCTGCCAGGCTGGGGCTGGTGGATACAAGGTTCAAGGTAACCATGTACACACGGTGTGTAGATCGATCACTTCTCCCTTTTTGCTGATCTAGATAAAGATGCTTTCAAAGATGGGTGGTACTTGAACGGAGCACACTCTCCCTGCTTGGCTGCAGCCTCCCCAGGACAAGGTAAAGGTGCTTGCTGCGCGCGGCTTTCCCTGTGTAGTACTACGGTAACAGAGGCTCTTTTATCCAAGCCGCTCCCTCCCCACGCCTCGCAGCCTCCGTGCTCCTCAGGCCCCGCTAGCTGGTGGCCGAGCCCGGGTCTGCGTGGGGCCGCTTTTTGCTCCAAAGCACCCAGGGCGGGGGTCCAGCTGGGGACGAACCTGGCATGTGCCTCCGGATTGCGCCCCTCCGAGGGCACGAAGACCCGGGACACGCTCCGCTAGGTCGTTCGGGGCTGGCTCCGCTTTTTCAGCCCTCAACCCGAGCAGCGACCCTCTGCTGCCTAGAGGGACCTACCGCTGTCACACCGCCCTGGTCGTCCAACAGCCGCCCCCCAGGGTAGGGATTCCATCCCCAGCCACCACCTGTCACAGCGACCCCGCCGTGCCAAAACTACCACACTACCCGGCTCTGGGGCCGAAGCGCAGCGCGCATGCGTAGACACCCCGCGAAGGGAAAACCTCAGGGGTGGAAGCGGGGAGGGAGAAGGGGTTAATTACAAAATAAGAGATTTCACAAGTGGGCCCAAACTGCTTGATTTTCCACTTGGAGATTACCGAAAGTGTTTGTTCAGAAATTACTGCCTCTCTGAGCTAGAAGGAGCTTTAGAAATATATTCCAACCCCCTCATCATACCCAGAGTTCGAGAAACTTTGCCTGAGGGTATACAGAACCCAGGTGGCTTATCTTCTGGGTAATACGGTTTGGGGCATTATTGCACTGTGGCATAGTGCCCTTCAATTTACTCCATCTCTGCAATTGCAAACTTTTCCTATGCATACAAGAGGCTGTATTTTGTTGTTGTTATTTTGTTTTAAGATAAACACAAAACAAGTTTGATTTATCATGTAGTTCCGAAAATTTTTTGAAGCAAGTTGTTTAAACAGATATAGATGAAAGCTTGGTAAACTCAGCTATTGCTGGCTGCCTTTGAGCTATCTAGTTATATTTGGAGCCAGATAACTTGGCTACATCACATTTAGAGGAAGCAAAATGGAGCTGTTTCCTTACTCAAAATGCCTCTCTGCTCGGAAA